TGACTACAATGATGCCATTGTCGAGATGCGCGCAAAATACTCGAAGTCTCCACAAGTGGTACAATATGTGGAGAACATATGGTTAGGGCACAAGGAGAAGTTTGTGAAAGCTTGGACCAACCAGGTAGCACATTTTGGAAACACAACTTCCTGTAGGGTAAAAAGTGTCCACTCTGTGTTGAAGTAGTGGCTTCACACATTCACTGGCGCGCTCGATACAATTTGGCAGAAGATTAATAAGCATATCGATTCTCAATTGACTGAAATCAGGTACATAGTGCAATATTTAACTGTGTTATTATATTACTGCATTAATTATAATCTAATGTTATGTAATGTATTATCAAGTCAGTGCTTGAGGCTTCGAGGGTTAAGAAGAGTACGCAGTATAAGGGAATCCTTTTCGCGAGCGTGATACTAAGGGTCTCGCATTACTGCCTGAGTTTATTGGACTCTGAGGTTACGAGGATGCATGACTTGAGCTATGAAGTTTACGAGCGCTGCGGCTGTGAATTGCAAGCGACTCATGGACTTCCTTGTGCCCGTCTGCTCCGTACGGCATATGATTCTAAAATTTCGATTAATCTCGGAATGATTCACCAGTTCTGTAGAACGCTATAGATGTTAGAGCCAGGTAATATAAGATTAATGTTTTATTTATAATTTTCTACTTGTTGTTTCATTTTTAATTACAACTTATGTAATTAAAGTACATTATTTGGTTTAATTCATTGAATTATTTATCGTATACTTATAGGGACAGGTCACCAGAGCCAGGCGAGCATGGGTGCATGGTCAGATGCGGAGTTCTTTCGGACGCTTGTGAATGAGGTTGAAACGGGCGATCCCGCGACGATGCGGTACATGAATCAGTTCATGTACAGTCATCTTTACCCTGACCAACAGGATTATGCAGTACCTGAGGTTTAGGAAAACCCGCGAGGTCATCCCAAGAAAACCAATTCAACTAAGCGTAAACAATTTTCTTGGGAGTACAGGGATATATTGCGAGGTTAGAAATCGAACCGTACGACCACTTCTTCGCGTGGACAGACAAGCTCATCTTCTCAACAGTCACAAGGGGCACCAGGTGATATATTCTTTTAATATAGTTGAACGTTAATTAAAGTATTTATATAATTGTATATATTGTGAAGTGAAATTATTATGATATTGCAGAGATTAGACCGACAAATATATTTGATTTTACAATGTGGCAAAGAATCCCATGGTTTATGTTGGACTACGAAGTGAGTTGCCTGAATGTGGAGGCGGACGGGAACTGCGGATTTCGGGTCATCCGAGTTACGTGTATGGTAACCAGCAAATGTGGCCAGTCATAAGAGGCAACATTGCGAAGGAGATCCAAAGCCACCGTACCTTGTACGACTACACCTATTTTAGGGATATCGATGCCGCACTCAGACGAATAAGGTGGGATGGGGGCACTTGTGGACCGGGTCACTGGTTCGAAGTTCCGCAGGACCTCTACCTTGTTGCAACACTATTTAATGCGGTTGTCGTTTTGTTGAGCTCTGGTCCGCGAGGTGGGCAGCACGACATGTACATCATGACAATGTTGCCGCTCTGTGCACGATCAATGGCTAGAGGACCATGTCGTGAGATTGTCATGTGTCATCTTGGTAGTTACGAACACTACATTCATTTAGATTTGACTCCTGATTGTCCATTACCACCTATTCATAGAATGTGGTTCACGAACGTATGTTCCCAAGCTACGAGAAAGGCTCGTTCTCCTGAGTCGACCCATCAGGACTCTCAGGAGAACGAGTCTGTCTCGAAGCGTAGAAACATACGTTCGTGTGAGCCGATTGTTTGACATTGGCGCCGTCCCTACGCTCCACGAGCAAGATCGTGCGACACAGTCAGGACCGATGGATAGACGCCTCTGGGGTCGGAAATTGGGGAAATACTTATATATCCAGGTCTACAGAAGAGCCAAGCAGCCCGACAGTCCACTAGAGTCCCCTCGGTTGGCAATACCTAGTTGTCTGTACAAGTATGCCAGTGTAGCCGATCCCCATGAGTAACCCCAATTGTATCCAAGCTGTCGAGAACCTCGTGCAAGAGCTTGGGGGTCACTCTACTACCACTCTTGTCAACGAACAAGGTGGTAGCCAGCATCACCCACATCTAAGCACCCGCCTCATCCTTAGTCGGTCGGCCTTTCCCCATGAATGCCTCCACAATTGAGACTTCGACCACCGAACCACGCTGCCAGAACGAACTCATGAGTTGACCCTTGGTGACTGAAAGTAACATCATGCTGAGCCCGTCTGAATCCGGGTCCTCAGCGACCACGGCTCCCTCCACAGGAACGCCCAAAATGGTGCGGGCGTCATGCAGCATGATGCTCATTTCACCAAAAAGCAGGTGAAACGAGTTAGCATCCGGCTGCCATCGCTCCACAAACGCAGAAAGCAGTGGAGTGTCCAAGTGGCTGTGCATGGAGTCCACCAGATGTGACAGCCCGGTGTCTCCGATCAGAGCTTTTGCATCGGGAGACATCTCATCACGCTAACTCCTCAGATTCTCGACCGCTCTCAGTCTGTTCTGGTATTTCAGCATGCCCCTAAATCTCCACTCCACTGCGGGAGGCGATGTGCCCTAGAAAGCTAGGGATGACACTCCCATCAATGGGCCCACCGGCCACTGTGCCTTTAACGATCTAGGGTGCATCTTTATCGGTCCTAGCTCATTTGCTAGTACCTGCAATAGAATATAACATATCTGTATATATACACTTGCTGGCAGATGCATTAAATAAAACCTATTTAATAAAACCTATTTTCAATTAATGTAGAAACAGTACATTTTACATTAATAAAGTATAATGACAATTTTAAACTAATTTATTATATAATATTACTACATCTTTAATACAATTTAATAAGTGTCAAAGGGAGAACATTTAGTAGTAGTAGTATGGTAAAATTCAAATATTACCAATTAATGTAGAAACATTATATTTATTATAACAATAATAAAAAATATTTATAATACCTTTCTAGCTAATTAAACAACAATAAATACGTAAATTATTTACCTGATGAGGATGCACCGCTACCAACACGCCCCCCAGCCTTTCGTTGAGGAGCAGCATGTGTAGGACGAACAGCCTGTACAGGACGAACAGCCTGTACAGGAGGGATAGGCTGGTTAGGACCCGTAAGCTGTGCGGGTCGTGCAATATGCTGTAGTGGGAGCTCCCTCTGGGGGTAGTGCGGGTGGTCCTGATCATGTGAAAGAGTCGTCCTCGTCAGACTCCTTTGAACCCTGCTTTCTCTCGCCGTACGACTCATCAGGATATCCCTGCTGACCGTAAGGTAATGGTGCACGTGCGCAGGATATCGACTTCCCTGCGTGGCGAGGAAAAGAATATACCCGCTGATGGTACGGTCCTGGTGCCGGGGGCATCAAACTGTCTACCTGGCCAGGATAATAATATCCATGCTCACCGTACGGTACGACTCTGGGAAGTCGCGAACTGTTTGGCTGGCCCTCAAAATGATATCCCTGCGGACCATCTCGTACAGGTGCGGGGGGTCTTGAACTTTGGCTAGCCAGACCAGTCTGTACCTTCCGAGCCTGATCGATCATCGTCTGTCTGTCCCAACGAACGGATGCATTGACACCCCGACTTCTAGTGTGTCGGGTACCAAAACCATCATAATAGTCATCGAACGCCTCGTCGTCGTCCTTGGCAGAAGATTGTCCAGGTCTGCTAACACCTTGAATCAAAAATATAATTAGTAATTTTTTCATATGTAATAATTATTGTAATAACTATTAAAATAGATTATAATTTATTTTTAATTTAATTTATAAATTTTATTATTATAATTTATAATTAATTATAATTTATTCAAGTTATTATTATTATAATTTATAATTATTATTATAATTATTACAATTAATTCTAATTTATAATTATAATTATTTCTAATTTATAGTTATTATTATAATTATTATTATAATTATAATTATGATTGTAATTATTTATAATTTTTATTATAATTATTATTACAAATTATTATTATAATTATTATAATTAATTCTAATTTATATTTATTATTATACTTAATTCTAATTATTATGATAATGATTATTATTATTATTATTATTATTATTATTATTATTATTATTATTATTATTTATAATTTTTCATTATTATTATTATTATTTTTATAATTCATAATTAATTATATATTATAATAAATAATTATTATTATTAAAAAAAAGTGTACGGCCGGCGGGGCCGGTCCGGTTTGGTCCGTTCGGACCGCGATCGTGCGTGGTTTTTCTGGCGTCCGACCGCTGTTCGCGATCGGCTGAGAAGAGTTGAGAGAGTGGCGGACTTCTGACGAGGTTGAGAGAGTTGGTTGTGGCTCAATCATCCCCTCGGTGGTGTTTGGGGCTGAGATATGTGCGGTTCCACTCTCTTCCTTTCTCCCGCTATTCTCTTCCATATGTGCCGCTAATAATGTACAAAATGAATAGACCTTATAATTATATGAAAAAATTATTTCAAAATCACAATTTTTTTATATAAAATATATATCTCGTCTATTGCACGTGCTCATAACTAGTAACTATAAAATTACAAAGCCGCATTTATTGCTCAAGTACAAAATATACCTATCTTTCTTTCTTTTTTTTACCTTGAAAGATAGAAATAGTACTAAAAAAATTAATAATTACAAGGTGATGTCAACTTACATCAATACAATTTGGACAATAACCTTACACTTGCGGACAAATCAGTACCAACAAGTCGCAATGTCTATTGGACAAGATATCGGAAAATCCCGCTTATACACTCTTATATCTATATATATGGGCACAATCTTCTTTACATATGTACATTAAAGAGAGAAAAAAGATACAGAGAGCTAGAAAAAATTAAAAAATCTTGACATATACATTAAAGAGAGAAAAAAGATAGAGAGAGCTAGAAAAATTTAATAAAGAAAGAAAAAATGGGGAAGGAAAGTAAAGTAAAAGTTGCAGCGATGGGTATTACAATATTGTTGTTATCCATTTTGCAGGTGACAATGGCGGTGAAGCAAACATACATCGTTCAGATGGCTGGAGACGAACGGCCAAAGAGTTTCCCTGATCACTCCACGTGGTATGCCTCGTCTCTGGCGTCTGTGTCCGAGACAGCCGAGACGAGTTATATTTATGAGAATGTTTTTGATGGCTTCTCCACCATCCTTACTTCCGAGGAGGCTGACCTGATGAAGGGCCTTGAGGGGGTGATATCTGTTATCCCAGAGACAATCCACACGCTCCACACAACCCGGACCCCTTGGTTTCTTGGTCTTGAGAAATCGAGCTCACTCCTTCCGGATCCCCAACTTGTGAGTGAAGTCGTTGTTGGGGTCGTGGACGGTGGCGTGTTGCCACAACACCCAAGCTTCAGTGACGATGGGCAGCTGGGACCCATCCCGAGTAGCTGGAAAGGGGGATGTGAAGGGACAATCGATTTCCCAAAATCCAGCTGTAACAGGAAATTGGTTGGGGCGAGGTCCTTCTCGAAAGGGTACCTACATTATCTCAAACAAATTGGGAAGAAGAATGACGAGCCAATATCCCCACGGGACTACGATGGCCACGGGACCCACACCGCAAGCACTGCTGCCGGGTCCCCTGTCTAAGGCGCCAACCTGCTGGGCTTCGCTAGCGGGACGGCGCAGGGGATGGCATCCACTGCTCGGGTCGCATCATACAAAGTCTGCTGGATGCCCAATTGTTTCAGTTCCGATATACTGGCAGGTATGGACCGTGCCATCAAAGATGGCGTCCACGTGTTGTCGTTGTCGCTGGGTGGCGGTCCACTTGATTACGACGAGAATCCGATCTCAATTGGAGCTTTCGCTGCAACTGATAGAGGCATCCTCGTTTCGTGCTCCGCAGGAAACAGTGGCCCCGACCCATACAGCATGGAAGACTTTGCACCGTGGATAACGACCGTCGGTGCGGGGACCCTTGACCGCGACTTCCCGGCGGATGTCATGCTCGGGGACAGAACGACTTACGCCGGCACCTCACTCTACAGCCTTCGAAAGCCACTGTCCGGTGATCTCGTGTACGCTGGATATGTGAGCAACAACGGCAGCAATCTTTGCATTAACGGGACCCTCATCCCAGAGAAAGTTCGAAATAAGATTGTGTTGTGTGACCGCGGGGTGAATCCCAGAGTTGAGAAAGGCGCAGTGGTGAAAGAAGCTGGGGGTTTAGGGATGATTTTGGCTAATACTGACAAGGAAGGAGAGGAGCTGGTAGCAGACGCTCACATGATCCCGGCCATGATGGTCGGCGCAAAGTCGGGGCGTGGAATAAGAAGGTATTTGTTGTCCTATAGATCCAATGCCAAGGCCACCATTATGTTGCGAGGGATAACTAGGGTGGACGTCAAGCCTTCCCCGGTTGTCGCAGCCTTCAGCTCTAGGGGACCCAACGTTATCACCCCCGAAATCCCAAAACCGGACCTCATTGCGCCTGGGGTGAGCATCCTAGCTGGATGGACAGATGCTAAGGGTCCCACCGGCTTAGATATCGACAAACGCAAAGTCTTATTCAACATAATCTCTGGCACGTCCATGTCGTGCCCCCACGTCAGCGGCCTCGCGGCCCTGCTGAAGGCGGCCCACCCTGAGTGGAGCCCTGCCGCCATTCGTTCGGCTCTCATGACCACGGCTTACTCCAATTACGAGGACGGGAGCCCGTTGCTGGATGCAGCCACCAGCAACGCGTCCACCCCATTCGATCATGGTTCCGGGCATGTGTCCCCTATCACCGCCCTCAACCCAGGCCTAGTCTACAACCTAACCACGAACGATTATTTGAACTTTCTCTGTGCAATAAATTATACTTCTTCTCGAATCAAGACCCTAGCAGGGAAAACAACAAAATTCCGTTGCCAGCCCAAAAAATCATACAGCGTCTACGACCTCAATTACCCTTCCTTTGCAGCCACCATTCCCCCATCTGGAAATTGTAAAACAACCGTGGTTTTTAGGAGAACACTCACAAACGTGGGAGAAAATGGGACGACATACCGAGTCTCGATATATTCACCAAGACCGTCAGCCACGATTTCTGTTACTCCTAAAACATTGGTTTTCGGCCAAAAGAACGAAGCAAAGTCTTACAAGTTGACGGTGGTAGCAACCCAGATGTCGCCCGGTACAAACGCGTTCGGCAGAATCGAATGGTCGGATGGGAATAATGTGGTGGGGAGTCCAGTTGTTGTTAGTTGGATCAACGCTACTCAGGATTAATACAGTAGTTTCCTTGTTTACTTACTCTTAACTGTATCGTAATAACTCACATATGTAATAAGGCTACGCCAATAATAATAATAATAATAAGTCTTGTTTGAGGTATACTACTTGTTTGTTGTTTCAGCATTGTATTATTTACTTATTTGAAACAAGTAGTAAAGTGTACGTGCCTGCGATGCACGTGATATATATATAGTTTTTGTTGTAGTTTTAAATTATGTTTTTTTCATATTTATATGGTTTATTCATTTATCTAAATTATTATTTGTTATTAATAAAACAAAAGAAGCTTTTTACACAATGAATTGTCTCGTATATCGGAATTAAAAATACCACTTTTATAATGATAATATTTAAAAGTTAAGATAAAAAAAGAGCATACACGAACAAAAAAAAACAAGGGAATAAACATTTTCTCTATGTTAATATTGTTTGTTTGAAATAGTATTTTAGTTCAGGCAAAGTTGAAAAATATGTACTGTAATGACTATTAGTACAGAGCCCGTGCGATGCACGGGGTGCACAATTTTAAGATTATTTATGCAGGCTTATAACTATATACATGAATAAAATAAAATGTACGGGATATATATAGTACGTGACCCGTGCGAAGCATGAGATATATTTATTTGGAGAATATTATATTATAAGATGCAATATTCAATAAAAGTTTATAATATGCAAGAAAATTGTACAATGTTCAATAAAAGTTTTATAATATTCAAGTGGAGTCTTAAAGTCTCTTGTACATTAAGATTACTGACAAAATAATATTTTAATCAATGAGTTTCCTTTCCTTGTAGCCAAATTGTGAATGTGATTTGAGCAGTACAACAAATCGATATATAGTTGACTTGCTTTTTTCATTGTAGTTTTTTTTTTTCTTTTTTTTATAATGAATTTAAAGATATTCTAAAATATAGCAAAAATTAATTTTTTTTATTACAATTAGGAATTTTACTAAATATAGATTCTCAATCTATGGTGTTAATCAACGTTTAAGTCTAAAAAATTAGGAATTTTTACCTCTTTTAATCAACGTTTAAGTCTAAAAAACAATAGAGTTATTATAAGTTTTTTTCTACATCTTTTAAGACATTAAATATGAGCATGTTAGAGGTAGCTTGAAAAATAATTAATATATTATCTCACTAAAACATTTATACTAATAAAAATTTAATTTTAACATATAAATTTATCCCTTGATATAAGAGAAAGTAACAGTTTTACTTATTGTTGTTCACCATATAATATTTAATTATTATTTTATTATATAATAAAAAAAAATATTATAAAATAGTGTAGTAGAATTGTTATACAATTATATGATTTTTTTTTTACAATATGGATTTAATATTTTTTTTATGATTTGATAATATAAACAAATCTATACTTACCTTTGACAAATAAAACAAATAAATACTTTAGTAAGTATTTAATGTATATACTAAATAGGAATCTATTTGGTATAATCAAATACCAAATATAATCAAATAAGTCAAAGTGTACATTTTTATTTGGTATTTGATTTTTTTATTATTAAAATATTTTTATTATACTTACCTTTTTAAAATAAAACAAATAAATAAATCAATTAAATAAATAAAATATTATAATACCAAAATGGTAATGACATTTAATGCAGTTGACTTTTCTGGATAGTAAATGTAGTAAATAGAATCTTCTTTTATATAAGTATAGATATGATATTATATTATGTTGCTCAAAATAGTAATGTATTTATTGCATTGACTTTTCAACTTACTAAATTTCGTAAATGGTACACCTTATTATATAAGTATAGATTTTGCTTGAACACTTCTGATTGCATAAATGTCCACTAACTAATAAAAATCGAGCACAAAATACCTGAAAATTCTAAATTCGGCAAAAACTCTCAATATATGAAAACATAATCTTATTTTAACACGAGACTANATTTTTTTATGATTTGATAATATAAACAAATCTATACTTACCTTTGACAAATAAAACAAATAAATACTTTAGTAAGTATTTAATGTATATACTAAATAGGAATATATTTGGTATAATCAAATACCAAATATAATCAAATAAGTCAAAGTGTACATTTTTATTTGGTATTTGATTTTTTTATTATTAAAATATTTTTATTATACTTACCTTTTTAAAATAAAACAAATAAATAAATCAATTAAATAAATAAAATATTATAATACCAAAATGGTAATAACATTTAATGCAGTTGACTTTTCTGGATAGTAAATGTAGTAAATAGAATCTCCTTTTATATAAGTATAGATATGATATTATATTATGTTGCTCAAAATAGTAATGTATTTATTGCATTGACTTTTCAACTTACTAAATTTCGTAAATGGTACACCTTATTATATAAGTATAGATTTTGTTTGAACACTTCTGATTGCATAAATGTCCACTAACTAATAAAAATCAAGCACAAAATACCTGAAAATTCTAAATTCGGCAAAAACTCTCAATATATGAAAACATAATCTTATTTTAACACGAGACTAGTACGAATCCCGTGCTATGCACGGGTAATAGATATTCATTAATATTTATAAATTAAAAATTTTTATTAAATAATATTTATATATTAAAAACATGGAATGAATATGTAATACAGTGTACCTATTTAATTTATTGTAAATGTTATATAAAATTTAAATTATGCAAAATTACATAAAAATATCTATTTTTAAAATTAGTACACAATCTGTGCGTTGCACATAACTGATAATAAATTACATTATATTCGTTTCAATATATGTGTCATTTCAAAAATTTTATTCAGAAATCCGATTGGACTATAACGTGATTCTATAGAATAATTATTGTGGTAAAATTTTATCATATATTTAGAAACCTATGTGATAATAAGTATAAATATAAAACTTTTTTTTTTTCAAAACGACAGAGGAAACTTAAATTGTTTCATTAACTAAAATGAATTTATTTTTGTATAAATATCTAAATAAAAAAATTTAAGTAGTTGAGTAAAAGCAATCAGTCATAAGATTTTTTATGCCAAAAAAAATCGACACTCTTTATAATGCTAAAAAATGAACAGTGCAATTCACACAAAAATTATTTGAAATGTCGTAACATAAAATAAATTAAATTGAGACCCACTAATTTATACAAAAAAAAAATAAAAAATTGATGAGAGTTGTTCTATACAAAAACATCGATACACGCACATTATATCAAAATATCCGTTTATTTTGCCGGAGTTACTTTAATTTCATACGAAAAATTGAAATACACGCCTAAAAATTAATATATTAGCCTGAGCATTACAGAAAAAAGTACACCGTATATTGATTAATTTTTCAACAAATTTCCTACTAAAAACCAGTCATCAAATAACCTAAATAGATTTGCTCACATACCATATATTGATTAATTTATTTCCCATAGAAACAACTATCAATACCAAATTCGTACGCTTTATACCATATTTTAATTAATTCATATGATTTGAGTAATTAAGGTATCTTAAAATATGATTTAATTAGTTCCTTAAATAATGAGCCGCAATTTCCATAAGTGATCATCTAATATATACCATCAATTATTAAATTAATTTACGTAAATAGTAAGTAGATTTTTTTTGGAGTGAAATAGTTACTATTTAAAAAATAATCAAACCTTTTTATATCGACTAGTACACAGCCCGTGCGATGCACGGGTAAATAATATTAAAATTATTTTTATAAATTAAATGTCTGTAAAAAATATTAAAATATTTTTATAATTTAAATATATAGTTACACAAACACAATATTAAAATTGTTTCATATATTAAATGTGCGGTTGACTACACAACAATTTATCTTAAATTTATTTTCATCTAGCCTTTTTTTTTTCTTTTGGTTTCATTCATCTATTCTCGCTGACTTTTTTTTTTCTTCATTGCGTTCAATTTCTCTATATTTAGTTATGGTTAGATTATATAAGTAGTCCTTTTCTCTATATTCAATCCGTCCATCCTCTCGCGAAAATATCCCAAATCCTCTGCGACGAAAACCTAGCTTCTCAGGCCTCGAATTTCCGGCACATCTGCCTTCCTCGGCGTCGGTACTGCTCGGCTAAGGGTCGTCCTCACCTGTTCGCGGCCCCCTGGCGAGGAGCACCCCTATTCCAACCACAGATGGTCCAGTGATGGGGAAACAAGTTCGCGGTCGTTAATGGCGCTCCGGACGGTGGCGGTTCACCTCGCGATGGAAGCACGGCCGGNATCTCAACCGTTGAATCTGCCTTTTAAATCTACAGTCAGCATCAGGTATATATATAATTATAAAATCACGAGCTGAAAAATCACAAACCTTCAGCTCGCTCGCACACAAAATCGGAAATAATATCTCAGATTTCCTCCTCAATCACGATTCTCTGCGATTTCTTTCTCAATCTCGATTTCAACGTCTGATTAGGTTTATTGATTCTATAGGCAAACTCAACTGCTCGTCAAAAATATCCAGGGAAAAAAAAGTCGATTTCATCAAATTTATCTACAAATGTCGACGAAAGCAGCTTCAGTTGCGCCATTAATGGAGATCGAAGCAACTCCAGTTGCGCCATTAATGGAAGAAGGTATACTGACTTTAAATAAAATAGTTGCTGATGAATTCACCATGAATGAGAATCGAGTTATTCAATTAGAATCACGTAATATTGAAAAAATTGTTCGTGCTTATCTGCAAATTTGATTTTTGTAGAATCTCTATTTTCTGGCAAAAATATTATATAATGTTGATGCAGTTGTTCCAATTATATAAAGTTGCTGATAATGTTGAATAAATTGTTCATGTTACTCTGGAATTTTGATTCATGACATAACTAACACCTAGCAGCAGTAGACACTAACCTAGCAGCAGTTGACAACTAACCTAGCAGCATCAGACAACAAACCTAGCAGCATCATAGAACTAACCTAGCAGCATTAGAGAACTAACCTAGCAACTACATACAACTAACCTAGCAGCATCAGA